TTTGTTAACTCTGTTTACTAGTTACAGGGTCCTGCCATAAGCTGCCAGTCCAAAACAGCCAGAGTTGCAGTTAGAAATAGCCCTGCATTACATAGCACTCCTGTGGCAGTGGGTTGGGTACCAGGCCCCTGCCTTCGTACTTGTCCCCTGTGGCAGAGCAGCGATCAGGCCTCTCCCAAGGGAGTGCATTAGAAGGGGATATCAGCCCCTCCTCTGCTAGCAGCAGCAGGTACCGAACCCTTTCAGTACATTTGACCAGCTTCATTCCCGGCCACTTTTACAGATTCCAGGGCTCATTGTCTTTTAACCAGCAAGCCAAATGACACTAGCCTGTATTATTTCCTATTGTGAGATAGAGGAAGACAATTCCTACAGAGGAGAGAAATAGAAACAGCGGGAGTTTTCAGAGAAAACTACAGGCCATCACTTGTAGTAGCCCCCCCTCCTAGAGGCTGGGATCCGACCTGTGGAGGAAAATGACTCTTAGTTTGCTTGGAAAAGAAGGCAGAGGATGACAAGGGTGCAGGGAAATTTTACTAAAAGCCTGGAGGGTCTCCTGAAAGAAAAGAACTTTCGCACAGGCAGAGGGCATGGCCCGTAAAATCTCCCCGCCCTGCAGAGCTGTGAGCCCTGCTCCCGAAAGTCCCAGTCAGATAAGAAAAGCCACAGATACCTTTAAGTCTACCCCAGAATTCCAAAATTTCAACCTAACACAGCAAAATCACAGAGCAAACCAAAGTCCCTAGTATACAAACATAGATAGAAATTTTTACTAAGTGGGCTGATTCCTCCCGTGATAGAGAGCAAACATCTCTGAGAAAACTAACTCAATAGCACTGCTTGAGACTTTTGCAGACCATCACAGGTTCAGCCTTCAGCAAATCAAACGTTTTAACCAAATGAGCAAACAGAAAATCAAAGTAGTTTTTGCTTTCACACAGACCAGTTAATGAGCAGATAATTATGCCAAGACATACAAACATCTGTACTCACACTCCCTCAGACTAGCCCAGACTGGAGCTGAGCAGATAATGCCCAACTCCCCAGATGGGCATGGGGGCATTCCCAGCACCCATGCCCCAGACCAGAATTCTTGACCGACGTCTCGGTGAGAACCTACCAGAGGAGTTAAGGTTGCATCGAGCCCCCCTTCTCAATAGCAAATTGACTAGTCCCACACACAAACAAACAGAAGAGTGAACCCATAATTCCTTAATCGAATCTGAATTCACTCATCTCCAGAGTCCTGATTCCTGATTTACCTGACGAAGTCCTATGACTTCTGGGGCTCCCTGCTTATGTAGATTGACTTAAGCTATTTATCCTCTGGTTGGGGAGGAATAGTGTAAACCATTTACTTTTTAAGTGTCCTTGGTTTCAGGAAGATAGAATTTACTAAATGGCTGCAGACTGCTGAATGTTCTAGGCCAGTGATGGTGAACCTTTTGAAAAACCCTAACTTAAATCTGGTGCCGTGTCACATATAGAAATTTTTTGATATCTGCAACCATAGTAAAACAAAGATTTATATTTTTGATATTTATTTTATATATTTAAATGCCATTTAACAGAGAAAAATCAACCAAAAAAAATGAGTTCGCGTGTCACATCTGACACGCGTGTCATAGGTTCGCCATCACTCTTCTAGGCTGTTCCCAATTTGGAGCCTCATCTCCCCATATAAATTAATTTATATGAGAGACCTTTACTGTATTGTGAAAAGTCAATTTATACAGGCAATTAAAGCATGTACCTTTACTGAAAAAGCAAAGCAAGTAAACATATACATCTGGGTTATGAAGTATAGACGGGCCCCAGCCAATCCGAAGAAGATGCTGGGTGGGGTTCTGAGGCATCATACACCCTCCTGTCCATATGTCTAAAAATTACTTTGCTGAATATTCTGGTACAGGTTATTTCTTAAGGTTCCCTGTTACTTTGTTGTGGCCTCCCAGAAATCATGAGAAGCACCTGGCAACTTTATTTTGCTAAGCCTTGAGACTGCTAGCTTCTTTGCTTAAGGAGTGAACCCACCACCTTTTTTTTTTTTTTTTATCTTTCCTTTCCCCATCCCTTTTTGCGTTCTTTTGTTAGGGAAGTTTTTTAACTATCTGCTCTTGTGTCCTAGGCTGGGGAAGATAATGGCTTGATAGATACAAGATGGCTGTAAATTGCCCACATTGTTTGGCCTTGGTTTTAACTTCTGATCTGGTGGATTCCTCAAGAAGAGGATTTGGGGCTTGATCTTCAAGGCATTGGAGAGCCACTGAAGACTCTGAGCAGGAGAGGCTTATGGATAGATCTCCATTTGAACAGATCACTTTGGAAGTTAGTGAAAGGACTAATTTGGAGGGTAAAGAATGGAAGTGCAGAGACCTTTAGGGAGTTCTTTATGAAATACTCCCTTGGGACACTGAAAATGTTTTAATGTGTTCCTGTATGGAAGGGAGGAGTGTTTGTGCAGAACAGAATATTTCAGTTAAACTTTAGGCTAAGACTTAACATAGTAAAGTTACAAATCCAAAAAACCTAAAATCTTGGTAAATTTAACTTCACCATAATTTTACTAAAAATCTATTAACTTTGAATAAAATTATCACACTTTCATTTGTTCATTGACTAATATTTGATTAATTCAAATTTAAGAAAAAAACTTTCCCTTGGTCATTCCCATTTACAAATTTAAAGTTTTTTGTATATATCAACCCTTAAAAATTTAATATAGTTGATTTTTTAAAATAATCCTATATAATAAAAGGCTAATATGCAAATTGTCCCCTTGACTGGGACTTTGACCAGGAGGTGGGGCCGATTTCAGCTCCACCCCTGATCAGCCCCTCCCACCCCAATAGGGGGCAGGGCCAGCTGGCCAACCTCCTGTGTCTCCTCCCCCTTGCCAGCCTGGCTCGATTGGACCCCACCCGTGCACGAATTCATGCACTGGGCCTCTAGTCTATATATATAAAAGACTAATATGCAAAGTGTCCCCTCAGGAGGTCGGCTGGGAGACTGGGAGTTCGATCACTTGCTATAACATGCGCTGAACACCAGGGGCCGGCGTGGAACAAAAGAAGGCCCCGGCCAGCAGCCAGCAGCGATGCCCTGGCTGGCAGCCAGGGAAGGGAGGCCCTGGCCGGCAGCCGGAAGGCCCCTATCAGCCCTGATCACTGCCAGGCCTAGGGACCCTGCCTGTGCACAAATTTCATGCACCAGGCCTCTAGTTTACATAACTAACTGAGCAAACTTAGACCTGTAACAAGAAAAATCTAAAGTACTTAAATAACTCTTGCAAATTGAATAAATTATGCTCATAATTATAATCAAATTCTCATAAAATTCTAATATAAGAAATATGTCAGATTCTCTTGAACATTTAAAATAATTTAAATAACAAGCATGTGCAGATTATTCATACACATAACATAGTGGCTTGAGTTTCATTTGCTTCATTATATTTGTTTTTAATTTCAAACCTTTTTAGTGAAGTGGTACTGCATTCACTGTAGGGAAGCAGTTTCACCTTCTCAGAATAGCTGAGACTTCTGGTCAGAAGGCTTCTCTTTCGGACATTTGAGACTGAAGGCTGTGCACATCCTCTGTGTTTTCAAAAGTCACTCAGAGTCATGGATCTATTCCATGCATATTTAATAAAATAACTTTAGAAATATGTATGCCTTGGTCTAAATAATAAATTCTGGAAATACAGATTTTAAGAACATATTTATTTTTATGACTAGATTTATCTAACTGTATTATACTAATTAAAACTATGTTTAGTCTTTTAGAAACTTCTATCAATTAATATCTTTAAATATAGAGAGTCTAAAATGTTAACTTTGTAAATAGAAAGATTGTGACTTGACAGAAAATTTTAGAAGGAAGAATTTTGTGTCAGTTTTATTGATAGGAGAAAACGTACATCACAAGACTTGTCAACTAAGTACTTCAGAGTAAGTGAGATGTGCCAAGTTTACTACCAAGACCTCTCTGCTGTTTTAGACCACTTGTGCTCATAGTTGTGTGCTCTTGCTGCTTATTTAAAGTACACTGTGTGCCAGAACTCCAACATTGTATTGAATAGGAACTTAAGTAATTTGTATGAAATACAATAGTTTGAAAAGAAAGTTTATTCTAGTAAGTCCCATTTTTAAATTTTGTGCATATACCGAGGGCAGTGATGGCGAACCTTTTGAGCTCGGTGTGTCAGCATTTTGAAAAACCCTAACATAACTCTGGTGCCATGTCACATATAGAAATTTTTTGATATTTGAAACCATAGTAAAACAAAGACTTATATTTTTGATATTTATTTTATATATTTAAATGCCATTTAAAAAAGAAAAATCAACCAAAAAAATGAGTTCGCGTGTCACCTTTGACACGTGTGTCAGAGGTTCGCCATCACTGACCTAGGGCAAGGCTGGGGAACCTTTAAGGCCCTAGAAATCTTTTGATCTGGCCTTGCCAAGCAACCACAGGTGGGACTAAAAATTCAATAAATCTAGGAGTTTTTTTCATAGCAACATAAGTTTATATTAAGTGAATTAAATTAAGCGAATGATGTTATAAATACCCGAATGGCCCTTGGCGGAAAAAAGGTTCCCCACCCCTGTTCTAAGGAGTTGTCTTTCCCCTGAAGATACATTCTTAACTTATCTTTGTTTTTTTTAATCTATAAGAAGAAAATATGCTATTTCTTACTTTTTTCTTAACAAGTCATGAAATTAAATGATGATGACAAGGCATGGTTGTTCTAGAAGCACCTTGGTGCTCTGCCATGTACACATAAAGCTAATAGTTAAAACCAAAAGACTTTTAAATCCTGCTGTATTCATTCCCTGGGACAGTGAATCCAACAAAATTCAAAAGCAGCAAAATACTTTGGATTGTGTTTTAAAATAATAATTGTTTACCTTCACACCAATTCACATAGGTTTGTGGGTAAACTTTATGGACTCATTATTTGCTTTAAAATTTGAGAATAATTTTTTCATCTGTAGGGTTTTGGACTGACAAGGAGGAACTAAAGAAACTGAGACAAAGTGAAATGGTTTTCAAGCCACAGAAGAAATGGCAGGAATATGAAATGAGTATGGAAAACTGGGTGAAGGCAGTGAAACGCTCCATGAATTGGTATAACAAGACATAGCACCAAACAGAATGGCTGAAACCGCAGATGGCTGCATGTGACATGCACATGAGATGAGCTCAGGAACACCAATACAATGGGGACTGAGAGGAGACTTAAAATGATCTTCACAACTGAAGAAAAAAAACACTGATTTTTTTAAAACGACAATAAACAAAATTTTTAAACCTCCATTTTTTTATTTTTTTTACCCAAACCTTAGAAAGATTCTAAGGCGGCAATACCTCAAAACTTTCTATCTTCTGTTTTGTAGCAAAATTCCAAAGGACATTAGTCATTAGCAATTATATTTTGACAGTTATAAGTTTTCCTTTTTAAAATACTAGGTCTATGGTACATATGAACATAATTAATTACTATCCAAATAAATAGTTCTAGATCAAGAACATTCACATTTTGTTCCAAAATTATATGAAAAGTATTCCTTTAATTTAAAACTAGATGGACTATTCAAAGTCCACATAGCTATAAAAAAATAATAAGAAATGTGGAATTTTGAAACATATTTTATATTTAAAGCCACAATTATTCAATGTTGTATCCAAATACAAGCTTGATTTGTTTATGTCGGATAAGCTTGTTAGTCAGTTTTTTCCTTTATTGAGCTTAAAGCCGCTGCCTTAATTTTTCCTTGTTTAGTCAATATCTGAGCATTATTTATATATTAAAAACACTGAAACTTAGGGTATTGATTCCTAAGGAATAATACTGTATTTTTCTTCTTAAATAGTATTTCTTTCAAACATTTCTGGCTAAAGTATAACATCCCATTTTAAAAAACAAAACAAAATGTAGGTAGTAAGTATAAGTCTTGTCTTCTGTTTTTGTTTTTAATCTTTCTTAGTTGTTGAGATGTCTGCATATATGTCATTTGTTTTTATTAAGTGCCTAATTGACAGAGCTTAATTTGAAGAAAGTGCCCTAATTTACCAGTGACTTAATGATGGTTTTCATTGGGTATTTTACTTGTCCAGTTATCTTTTTAATTTTGGTCTGTGTTTTCCTCTCTAAAACATGCAGGGGTAGCGGTAGAGGTCGGAGATGTACTTAAAAGAGCAAGACAGTTCTCCAGCTTTCTTGATAGAAGAGTAGAGGGGCAAGAGTTGTGAGTAGCTTCAGGCCAGGAGTAAAATTGCCTTAAGGCAGTTGATCACCTTCCTGCTTTCAGATGATTTGCCCCTCCTTACTTTTGGGCTAGGTCAGTGGTCGGCAAACCGCAGCTCGAGAGCCACATGCGGCTCTTTGGCCCCTTAAATGTGGCTCTTCCACAAAATACCACGCGTGGGCACGCATATACAGTGCGATTGAAACTTCCTGCCCCATGCACAGAAGTTGGTTTTGGGCTTGCGCGAGTCTATTTTGAAGAAGTGGCTTTACAAGAAGTGGGGGGTGTCAGTCGGGCGACGAAGTACGGGGGGAGGTACATTGTTTTGAGGTAGTTCGCTGAGGTTGACCCCTTCCAACTCTCCCATCCACACTCGTCTATCTGAAACAAGTATACAGGACGAGTGTGGATGGGAGAGTTGGAAGGGGTCGACCTCAGCGAAAATCCCTCAATCAGATTGAGGAAGTTTTTAGCAAAGGCCAGTTTAGGAGTACCCTAATTAAGTTAATAACAATGTACCTACCTATATAGTTTAAGTTTAAAAAATTTGGCTCTCAAAAGAAATTTCAATTGTTATACTGTTGACATTTGGCTCTGTTGACTAATGAGTTTGCTGACCACTGGGCTAGGTTCCTGTTAGATTGGCGACAGTGATGAGATTCACTTCCCTATTGGTCGGGTTTATCACAAAAAGTCCTATGGCTAGCTGTTTAATAATAATGTAATTGTAGAAGTGACTGTTATAGGAAATTTTGGTGTGCTTTTTTGTATGACCTAAGAAAAACAACCCCCATCCCCCAAAGAAAACCACACAAACAAGATGATGGAGAAAGTTCAAATAGGTTGGTTGAATTGTGCTTTAATGTGTCTGTTCACTACTGAAAACAAGAATTTTTCAATTTTACTTGTATTTTCCTGAATGAAATGATATATTGTCACATTAGAAAAATTTTAATTGCAGTTGACATACAATATGATATTCGTTTCAGATGTACAGCATAGTGATAAAACATTTATATTCCTTACAAAGTGATCACACCCATTAATCTAGTACCCACCTGGCACCATCCGTAATGATTATAACATTACTGACTGTATTCCCTATGCTGTACTTTATATCTCCATGCCTATTCTGTAACTACCAATCTGTACTTCCTAACCCCTTCACTTTTCTCACCCAGTTCCCAAATCTCCCTCCCACCTGGCAACGATCAAAATGTTTTCTGTATCTTCGAGTGTTTTCTGTTTTGTTTGTTAGTTTATTCTGTTCTTTAGATCCCACATATAAGTGAAATCATATGGTATTTGTCATTCTCTATCTAACTTATTTCACTTAGCATAGTACCTTCTAGGTGCATCCATGTTATTGCAAACAGTAAGATTTCATTCTTTTTTATGGCCAAGTGAGATTTCATAGTATTTATGTATCATATCTTCTTTATCTAATCATCTAACGATGGACACTTAGGTTGCTTCCACATCTTGCATTGTAAATAATGCCGCAATGAACATAGGGATGCATATGTCTTTTTGAATAAGTATTTTGGATTTCTTTGAGCAAGTACCCAGAAGTGGGATATACTGTCATATATTTCTCTTTCAGAGGCAGATTTGATAGAATTAGGGGTCAAATTGCATTTCTACCAATTCTATTTCAATGTACTTTAATTGTCTTCTTAAATGATTATTTTGATGGAGTCATTACTGCAAATGTATAGTATCATTAACTCCATTAATTAAGATTTGGAAATATTTTTATGTTGAGGTGTTTTGTTTACTGTCAGATCCCCTTATATAGATATCATACTCTTTTCATTCTTTGTTTTTTTTTATGTCCTTTTAACAAAGCTTGGGGCCAGTTAAAGGCTTTATTATCAAAATCATATAAAAGCTGCTCTGCTGTTTTAGTGTTTCTTACTAGTATAGAGTCTGCTTCTCAATGGATATGATTTCATAGGAAATCTGTCTTTTAGTATTAGGATATATTGAATTATAACATTATAAATACCTAAAAAGTTTTCAGTTCATCTCTTTTTCACATTTTCCTTTCTCAACCTTAAAGCACAAAAAAGATATCTTTTAGATAATGTGGGAAAATAACTTTGACTTATCACTTATTGGAATTGAGCATCTCAGAAATCAGTGGCCATGTTTTTCTTTTGTTATCCTAGAAGTTACTCTCCTATTTTTAATATTTCAGTCTATTTTTGGTAACAGTTTCATAAATCTTTTGTCAGACTTGACTTAAATCAGAAGTGTGACTACATTTGCTTTTGTGGTTGTAGAAACAGGTGATGATCAAAATCAATTGAGCAAAAAAATTGTCCTTTCCATCTTTCAAGTTCATTTTTCATTTGCATGTTAATATTTGAAATTTTAAAAAATTGTGTGCTAATTTTCTCATAATGTTTTGTTTTCTCTAATATTATGGATCTGTCAGATATTTTTAGGAGGTATAGCTGTCTTATCCAGGAGGAGAAAATTCCTATAAAATTTTTCTTAAAGTGGCACTGATTGCTTCTATACTACAGACTTAGTGATTTTAAGTTTTTATTCTCAGCGTTATTGACATTTTGGGACAGGTCAGTCTTTGCTTTAGGGGCTGTTTTGTGCATTATAGGATATTTAGTAGCATCCCTGGCCTCTACCCGTTAGCGACCAGTAGCATCCCAAGTTGTGGTTAAAAATGTCTCCACATATTGTCACATGTGCCCTGGGAGGCACCACAACCCCCAGCTGAGAACCACTGATACAGACTATTAGAAGGAAAGGAGATGGGGGCCATGTGAAATACCTTATCACATCCTTTAATCTCTGCCTCATTTTACTTTAGTAAATGGTCCTTAACAAAAACAGGTGGTAGTGGAGTTTCCACTTTGTAAGGTTTCTACTTTGCTGGTTAATGTGGTTAAAAAGGCGTTGTAATTGTTTTCTGCTAGTTTTACTCCCCCAACCCCACCCCCACCCTCTGGGTGGGTGGGTTCATGATTTCATGAAAGATTAATGTAGTCCATATGATATGCCTTTTGTTTCCTTTCCATCTCTGAGCCAAGGGGGTGGTCTCTGTCTGTGTCTACCCCTCTCCCAAGCCTCTAGCAGACTGGAAGCCCCCAGGAGCATGTCTGCTTCCATGGGACCTAACTCTGTGCCTTCATATTTGTGGGAGGAACTTTTACTCTGTTTACAAGGGCAACTTTTTTTTGCATATATATTTTATACTTGTTGACAGGGAGGAGCTTCTATTTGTTGCAAGTAAAACATTTTTTGTTGGATTAAGAAGGACTACTTTGGTATGAGAGCTGGAATCTTCATACTGTTATTTTTAAATTCTTCATGTTTATGAATTTGCATATGTATTTATGTAGAGATAAATACACCCACAAATACACGTTTACATTAACTTTCTAAGGTATATTTGGAGCCTTTCTAGTCGCAGGTTTTGTATATTTGACTGAAGATGACTAACAGATTGAATCTTAAGAATGTCACTCAGATGTTAGAGAGAAAAACTTCAGAAAGAGCCCCTTCTGCAAGGGACTTATACTAGGGACAAGTCTTTAATTAAAAATAATTTAGCCTAAGACTTTGAAAAGAATCTATAATTCCTGAGGAGGATATAGGTGGAGCCTGGGGCTCCTCAACTTTAAGTGATTCTGGAGTCATCCCAGAGATAGTCTAGAAGGCTTGGATCTGCCCCCAAAAGATTCTGAACCACTTTGGGACATTTAGATCATGTTTCTGAATCAGAATTAAAAGCTCAAAACATACCCAGAACATATCTGGTCCCAGAATCATCCTTTTCCATAGACAAAGCCAAGTAATTTGGTTTGAATCAGTCCAAATGGGTAACCCCAAAGAAGCAAATATGTGATCCAAAAGTTTTGGAGCCTTATAGCAATAAATATTTTGGCACCAGCATTTATTATAAGTAACTGACTATAGTATATTATAAGTAACTGATCATATTCCCATGGATCCTTGCACTTGGAGGAATGCAAGAATGATCCTGGGAGTGGGAATGATAGAGGCAGAAACTAGAATAGTATTTCTGAAATTCTCCGTTATT